CGCACCCGACCAGTCTCTAACCATGGAGCCTCACCTTTCGGACCACCCCACTGAGTGAGCGGCACCAACCAACCAGAAAGGGTCTGGGTCGGTGGAAGTTGTTGCAAGTTCCTTTAGTGACACCAACAACACTTAAATTCTGCACAGTGACCTCATCTAGGGGCCACCCGGGCGTTCTTGGAGACACTGGGCGCCACTGGGACTGAAGAAATTAATCACCTGCTGTTTCTAGACCCAGGAAACTTCACGGCTCCCATGCATGGTTCAAGGAACATCCTGCCTAAATATTATTCTGCACCAGGCGTTTACAGCCTTCTCCGTTGCCTCTGGATTCTGGCTCCGGGCTCCCACCACACTCCGGGGGAGGAAATCCCAGAGTGCCCCCATCACCCCATCCAGCTTCTCAGGTGACATCAGCGCCAGCCAAGGAGCATCCCAATCTCCCTAGCAATGGAGCTTCTGGCCACCAGGAAGACACATTAGACTCTCGGGGCAGGACCTGGCATTGTTTTGTAATATAAACGCTTTGCACCCAGGCTGAATGAGGCAAGGGGAGTTGATGTGGAGTCGGAATGGTCCCTATCGCGCTGTTATTGTAGCCTCCCGCTCTTCCTCCTGATTACAGCGCTCAACATAATCTATGGCACTAGGTGATAAACCCGCTGCACTCAATTTATAAGCAAACAATCCCTGTCTTTTTTTAGGCACTTATCTTCTCCAGCAGTCAAAAGAAAACTGTATTTAGTGTCTCCCTGGCGTCTAACCCCCTTTTCCCTCCTCTCCTCCTTCTTCTCTTTTGACACAAGAGAGGCAGATTTTATGTTGGGTAAAGGAGCAGATTTTAGCTTCTTCCTGGATCATAACAAACTGCTTTCTACCAAGGAGCAGGCAGAGCATCCGGGACTGGTTGAAGGAATAAACGTGTGAGCAGGGCTGACTGGAGGCAGGGTCCTCATGTGGCCTAATGAGGATGTGTCTGGAAGCCCAAGCCACAAGGGAGAAAAACACAGTTGTTGGGAAATAAAATGGCAAGGGGGCTAAGGACCAATGTCTTACAGCACTTTTCCCAGGATCAGTACCAGTGATGCCATAGGAAAGCTGTTGCGTTTACACAGCATCTTCAAAACATTCCGTGACATCCCTGTAATGATCCCTTAAGGCGGTTGAGATAAGAACTACTCTGTTTTTAGATGAGGAAATGCGGGTAAGCAGGGGGGTGAGAAGTGTAGGGGTGGGAAAGTGGAGGGAGAGGATGGGGGGTGAGGGGTGTTCTGATGTTTTCTCGGTAGTATTTCTTCATCTTGGGCAAAACCCACTTGTACTCCACATAGGAACCCACAGAGCCTCCCCCAGCACTGGAAGTACTCAAGAGAAAACACAGAATAGCAACACAAATTTTTATCTCAGTAATTATTTATTATATTATTCCTGTTAATTGCTACTGAGAAAATAATCTTAGCATTCTAGGAAAAAAAAACTACTTAGAAGTGCAGAAGAAAAACTTTTTTTAATGTACTGTTTTCCATACTCAACTTTTGCAGAGGTTAGGGAACTCCAAACACAAACTGACTGTAAGGCTGGCTCAGTTCTCTTCCCAAACTTGTGGTTCCTGCTGGGACAGGGGAGCTCACAGTGCTGCGATCCTGCTGGGACAGGAGAGAGGTGTTACTGAGGAAAATCTACATTGGGGCTTACAAACAAGAGTTTTCTTTTTCATTGTATTACATTTTATTTATTTATATACCTCTCTCTCTCTGTGTGTGTGTGTGTGTGTGTGTGTGTGCGTGTGTGTACGTGTGTGTATGTGCATGCATGCTTGCATGCTTAGGTGTGGCCAAGCATACTGTCATGCATGTGTGGATACTGGAGAACAACATACAGGACTCAGTCCTCTCCTTCTACCATGTGGGCTTCCAGGACTGAGTTCATGTCACCAGACTTCCCAGCTAGGGCCTTTACCCGTTGAGCAATCTCACTGACCACAAAGGGAATATTTAACGACAAATTCAAAGGAGTAGCGTTTCTCATTCTCCAAGTGTTCTGGACAGTGGAAGGTTCCCTGTGCAGGACTCAGCTGGCTTCCTGCATACTTCTCAGAGCAAAGCACACTGGCCACACAGGATGAGATCGTCTGCCTATTGGCCTGATGGATTTTTAAAGATGAGAGACCCTTCCTTTATCCCAAACTCCAGATCGAAGTCTGAAGCACAATTAATAAAAACTCAGAGACAGAAATTAGGGTTCAACCTGAAGGTCAGAAAAACAAAGCAGCTAACCAGTGACTCTGACCTCTACCTCATTATGAAATGGCGATCCTGTCTCCAGGAATCTCAGAATGAACTGTCTCCTCTTGTTTTATATTCCTCTCTAGTTCTGGGATTAAGGGCATGCACCACTACTGCATGGTTTCTATGGTAAACTAGTGTGGCTACTGGGATTAAAGGTGTGTGCCATTGCTGCCTGGTGTGTAAGGCTAGCCAGTGTGGCTGTTTTACTTTTCTGATCTTCAGGCAAGCTTTATTTAGTAAAATGCCACTACTTCACCAGAAGTGTTGTGACCACACTGTGTTTCTCTCCATAAGTCCTGGCCAGGCTCATGTCTAAAGGAGCATCTTCTAGAATGAGGATCATTCTGGAAAGCAATGCACGGTGCAGTCCCAGTGAGAAGCAGGCAAAACAAAGCAGGGACATGTTGCAGGTGTCTGTGGTGCTTCGTGAGTGTGTGTCAGATGAACGGCGGAGACAGGCAAGGCTTTGGAATGTGGGGGCATGTCAGGTGACCTCCAAACAGAAGACATCACTGGAGATTAGACCCAAGCCTTAGTTAGTCCGCATGAGTGGGAAGAACTGGTCGTGGCCCAAGGAGCGGAGGACAAGGCCCTATTTGAGGATCTTATGCATGGCTGCATGAGAACAAACTACCCAGGCAATAAATGTCATGTACAACAGCAAAGGCCTACAGGACCCAGCATTTACCATGTGTGTGACAGTATTGGTCATGAAAGGGTTTATAGCGAGGGTGACCCGTGGAGGAGAAACTTGAAGAATTGCTCTAGGTAGGAGAGGGCTTTAGTCTTGAAGGAATACTTAGAGTAAAACTAAGGAGGTTGCCGTAGGTAGATCAGTGGTCCCCTAAACCATATGTCACACACCTTATCCCTGGTGTAATGTGTCCTTATCTGGAAAAAGGATCTTTTCAGGCATTATTAGGTTGTGTATCTTAAGATTAGACCATACCGGATAACTAAGATGAGTACCAAATCCAATGACAAGTGTCACACAGAGAACAGGGACAAGCCTCGGCACAGTGGAAAGGCCATCAGAGCATAAAAGAGCTTGCGAAAGGATGTGGTTCCACCAATTCCTTGATATTGGCATCCAGAACTCTGAGGGATGAATTTCGGGACCCCAGCTATAAGAACTGGCTGCTGTGGCCACAGCTCCTGGCAGAGCTGTAGGAGCATCATCCTCTCCAAGCTCTCCTTGTCCCCAGACCCATTTCTTACCCTTGTTCTGTTCCCAAAACCGGATGGACACCTTCTGTCTGTACCATCACACGGAGTGGCCTCTGTGTACATCTGTGTCTGATGCTCTTTTCCTTTGAGAACACCACCTGTATTAGATTGGAGCCCATGCTAAAGAAATCATCTTGACTAACAATCAGCTATAAGAGCGTGTGTCCAAATACTGTCACATTCTAAGACATAAAGTTTTAAGAATGAGCATGTGAATTCTGGGAGACACAGCCCAGACAATACCTAGACTTAGGCAGTAGTAGAAGATTGAGAGATGGTGAAAACGAAGACACGTCTAGTGGGAATGAGAGCAGCAGTTCCACAAGAAAGGATGGGACCTAGTGAGCTGGTGGGAGGGAGAAGCACCGGGTCGAGGATGCAAGATGCTGGGTGGAAGTCAAAATCCATAACGAGGGGAAGATGCCAGGGTGAGAGATAGGGAAAGGAAAGAAATGTGTCTTCTAGGAATTCAGTAGGGAGAGAGCAAGACTAGCTTCCAAGCACATGTGAGAAACCTCAGAAGCTTCCAGAAGGCTCAAGCTGAGGATCTGGTGAATGGGAAAGAAAATGTCAAAAGAAGAAAGGTTTCCATGCCAGGCATTGAATTCCAGCTAGTTGGAAGGCTAAGACAAGATGATCACAGGCGAAGGCTCTCCTGGGCTGGACAGAAATACCATGTCTATAATACATATATACTTGGGGGTACAGTGATATAGATCAATGGTAGACTGATTGCCTAGCATGTTCAAGAGCCTAGGTTAAATCTGTAATATAAGGAAGAGGAAGAAGAAGAAGAAGAAGAGGAAGAAGAAGAAGAAGAAGAAGAAGAAGAAGAAGAAGAAGAAGAAGA